GGAAAAGCCAGAAAAGTGTCACAAAGTTGCTCTAAATTAAATATTTTTAGTCGGACACAACTCAAACGGAACACTTGCTCTAGAATTCTCTATAATTCGCGCAACTCTCTATAATTCTCTAGAATCGATCATCTACGAACTAAAGTCTCCGTTGCGATTCTCCGATGCGAAGTCTCCGACTGTTGCGAAGAATGCTACTAGAAGATCCATAAAAAATGCTACAAAATTGCGAAAAAATGGATATTCTCGCGCAAACAGAACTCTAACGAAATAATTGCTCTAGAATTCGACGTTCGCTATAACTACACCTCTATCGCATCGATCACTTCTGGACTCAATTATCTTCTGACACCAGAACTCGGACTATTGGTCCGAAGGATACTTATCCTCTCTAGAAAGTCTATCAGAGAGATCGCAAGATTGCTCTAAATTCGATATTCCGGTCTACACTCGCTCTAGAACACAATTATTCACACTAATCGTAACTTTGTCACATGATTCATTTCAAACTCGGTTATCTCGGGACTCTACACCGACGCAACGCGGGAGTCGAAGAACGTTGCTCTAAACTTTATATTCTCTATCGCACTTGCTCTAGAACTCGATTATTCGTACCAATTGTCACATAACTCGTCCTAGACTCAATTATGTTCCGACTTTGAAGTCCGACGGTCCGGAGTCGAAAAGCTTTGATCACCCTTCCCACAAAATCGCCGAAATATTGCTCTAAATTTGTCTTTTCTGGACACACTTGCTCTAAAATCCGATCGTTATAGCTGTCATAGCTGTCACATAAATGAAGGACGTAAAAGGCTCGATTGCCGTAAAGATCAACCACAGAATCATTTTCTGCTATATAATCTCGTATTCACACTGCTCTATATTTAAATATAGAGCCCTTTTAGAGTCGATTATCCTCTCGCATAAACCTCCGACGCAACGATTTCCCTGAACGATGCAGACCCACCGAAAATTCATCTGAACTCGATTTCCTTAGAATATTATCAAATCGCAATTCCTCCTGCTATACTCCTGCTCTAAAATTTCATTCTCATTGCTCTATATTCCCGTTTTAGATCTGGAGATTATCTTCCTTCGACGGAATGATTATTCTAAATGACGTAGACCGACCGAAAATTCATCTGAACTCGATTTCCTCAGAATATTATCAAATCGCAATTCCTCCTGCTATACTCCTGCTCTAAAATTTCATTCTCATCGCTCTATATTCCCGTTTTAGATCTGGAGATTATCTTCCTTCGACGGAATGATTATTCTAAATGACGTAGACCGACCGAAAATTCATCCGAACTCAATTTCCTCAGAATATCATCAAATCGCAATTCCTCCTGCTATACTCCTGCTCTAAAATTTCATTCTCATCGCTCTATATTCCCGTTTTAGATCTGGAGATTACCTTCCTCCGACGCAACGATTTCCCTGAAGGATGCAGACCAACTACGGAATACCGTCGATTTCTCCCGAAAACCCAAAACGTCCAGCTGACCACTAAAGGCGACCTTATCAGCGAGCTCTAAATCTTCATTTTCGAGTCGATTATCTCGCTATCCAAGTCTACGACGCAACGATTGCCCCGAGGGACACAGATCGCCCGCGAAATCATTCGAACTCAATCTCCCAAAAAGCGTCAGATCATAATATGTATCAGTTGCTCGAAAATGTTCACACTGCTCTTTCCCTTTTGGAGTCGATTATCTCTCTTATCAACGATCGGTATAAACATCACCAGAGATCCTCAGAGAGCCTCGCCTACCACAACATCGTCGAAACGTCAATTTCTCCGCCGTCCCGAAAATAAACCCGCCCTAAGTCGAACCCAAAGTCGTGCCAGCCCCCGCGTCCCCCACCACGCTCTTACCTTGTCCGTTATCAATCCTGAGCGGCGCGATAAGACGCCGTGGCGTGGTCTGGCGACGGCTCGACGTGGGCGTGTTTTAAAATCGTTATCACTAAGTTAGCACCAAGTAGACACTGCACTGTACACACACACAGCACATCGTGGCGTTCCTCGGCAACGAGAAACGTAACAGTCCGAGAAAAAACCGCAGCCACCGACAGGTTCGGGGTCCCTCGGGAAAACTCGAACGATGCTCGAAACAGACGTCCAAGAACGGTTCCCTTCTTTCCCTGCTTTCCTTCGTCCGTCGCTCTCTCTCTTTTTTTTTTTTTTTTTTTTATTCTTCCCTCCACGGCTGCCGCGGCGGGAGGGGGAGAACAGAAAGGGAGATTTTTTGGTAGCACGCGCGCGCGCGCACGTAAACTCGACTTCGATGCGACTGTCGTGGCACCCGGCGCGGAACTAAGGCGAACGAAAACACCGGCCGCGGCGTTCCCCTCGCGTTCACCGTCGCTCGTGCGCCCTCGCCGATCCTCGGCCGTCCTCGGCCGCGCTCGGTCACGCCCAGCCCTGCGCGGGCCAACCCACTCGCGGGCGGGCGCTCGCGCAACCCCCACCGCGCAACGGGAACGACCCAGCCGCGCTCGCGTCGCTTCTCCTGTCAACACCGACCTCTCCCTACCCCGCTACCACACCGCGCCGCTCCTTTTAACGCGAACCGTTTTTTCCCTGCTCGGGTTTCCCTTTGGCGGCGGGCTTTTCGCTTGTTTCTCGGTTTCTCGAGTATGAAAATGAATTTCTGATAGTTTTTGGAACGCGAGCCGTGGCAGCTGGGAATCTTGACTCTCAGGCGTGGGTACCGCGAGGTTTAAGGGATGGTAATGAATGGTAGTTTTTAAGCGATCTGGAGCGTTTGAAGCACACATACGCGGTGTTTAAGGAATAAATTCTCAAGATCTCAGGCTTCTTCGATAATAAACTCCTCTCTCCAGGAGAAGAGATCCTCTTCCGTTGCCGGTTAGGTCTGGGGAGGTTAGGTTTGGGTTCTTATAGAAAGGAGAAATTAGAAGGGCGAGTTTTTAGAGAGTCTTGACTCTCAGGCGTGGGTTCTGCGAGGTTTAAAGGATGTTGACGAATGGATGGTAGTTTTTAAGCAATCTGGAGTATTCAAAGTATATATACGTGGTGCTTAAGAAATAAAATAGCAAGACGCAGGTGGCTGAATGTAAATGGAGTTTACATGCAGAAGTTCGTTGTGGATATTCCAACTCGTTTACAGGTTCAAATATAATTTCAATAGATTTCAATTATTTTTCAATTATTTTTCAATTATTTTTCAATTATTTTTCAATTATTTTTCAATTACTTTCAATTATTTTTCAATTATTTTCAATTGATATTGAAATCCAGACATAAATTTAAAGGAAATCTCGGAGGAATTTCTTGGTTTAGGTTTAAGTTTCGATATAATTTCAATTAATTTCAATTAATATTGGAAGAAGGTTTAGATCGAAAGGAAGTTTCGGTGGAGTTTCTGGTAAATGGAATTTACATGCAGAGGTTCGTTGTGGATATTCCAACTCGTTTACAGGTTCAAATATAATTTCAATTGATTTCAATCATTCTTCAATTACTTTCAATTATTTTTCAATTATTTTTCAATTACTTTCAATTATTTTTCAATTATTTTCAATTGATATTGAAATCCAGACATAAATTTAAAGGAAATCTCGGAGGAATTTCTTGGTTTAGGTTTAAGGTTCGATATAATTTCAATTAATTTCAATTAATATTGAAAGAAGGTTTAGATCGAAAGGAAATTTCGGTGGAGTTTCTGGTAAATGGAATTTACATGCAGAGGTTCGTTGTGGATATTCCAACTCGTTTACAGGTTCAAATATAATTTCAATTGATTTCAATTATTCTTCAATTACTTTCAATTATTTTTCAATTATTTTCAATTGATATTGAAATCCAGACATAAATTTTAGGGAAATCTCGGAGGAATTTCTCGCAAATAGAGTATCTAGAGGTAGGTTCTGCGAGGTTTAAGAGATGTTAACCAATGGATGGTATTTTTTTAAGCAATCTGGAGTATTCAAAGTATATACACGTGGTGTTTAAGAAATAAAATAGCAAGACGGAGGTGGCTGGATGGAATACTGTCAGGCGTGGTATTCTGACGTTCGAACGAGGTTAATAAATGGAAAATATTTTTGTAACAATCTCCAGTATTGAAAGTATACATACAGGGTGTTTAATAAATAAAATCGTCAAATTTCACAAAATTTAAATCCAATTTCAAACGAATCGTATGTGCAAATACGGTTCAACAGTATATTTCGAGTTGTCTTTAAGACACCATTCAGATGTGAGTACGTTATATCCTTAATCAGAATGAAATTTATCGTAATAAAACAATCAAATTAGCGTTTCCAAACAAACCTGAAACCTATCCTTTAATTTAGACGAACTTTTTCGCCCGTGAAATATTCACGAAATGGACTCCTGTCGCCGTAAACAATTCTCGCGAAAAGGAGGCGTGAAGTTTGACAAAAAAAAGTGTGAAAAAAAAAAAACAAGAAGAAGAGTTTCCGAGGAGGTTGAGCGGCCCCGCAAAGATGTCCCGCGGTGAAATCGAGCTTATCGAACGGTGCGGGAATATTATCTAGATTCAGACGGTAGTCGAGGAGGTGTTGAATAACTCCGTCGGATCGGGTGGCCGATTTCATCGTTCCCCATCGCGAGCGATCGGCGTCGCGCGCCTGCGTGCTCCGGTGTCAGTGCGCAGGAATGAAAGAGATGCCTTCCGCGATCGGTCGGGCCGAATTTAGATCGGATCGAGAAACGAGGAAAACGGGTGGTTACGGCGCGTGCCCCGCGCCAAAGATGCTCTGGATAGAATCTTTCAGGCACAGGTGCGGCGCGAGAGCAAGCTGACTGAGAAATTTTCTTCGATTATTGGTCAATTCGATAGATTTCCGATTACGGAGATAAGGAGTGATATGATTTTTCACGGGGACGATTTATAGAGCAGAGACGCCTGAGAATAGAGCACAGGTTCATTCTGGATACTGCGTATTGTTTACAGGTTCGAATATAATTTCAATTATTTTCAATTATTTTAAATTATTTTTCAATTATTTTCAATTATTTTTCAATTATTTTCAATTGATATTGAACTCCAAATTTAAATTTAAAGGAAATCTCGGTGAAATTTCTTGATTTAAGTTTAAGTTTCGATATAATTTCAATTAATTTCAATTAATATTGAAAGAAGGTTTAGATCGAAAGGAAATTTCGGTGGAGTTTCTGGTAAATGGAATTTACGTGCAGAGGTTCGTTGTGGATATTCCAACTCGTTTACAGGATCAAATATAATTTCAATTGATTTCAATTATTCTTCAATTACTTTTAATTATTTTTCAATTATTTCCAATTATTTCCAATTATTTTCAATTATTTTTCAATTATTTTTCAATTATTTCCAATTATTTTCAATTATTTTTCAATTATATTCAATTGATATTGAACTCCAGAT